CTGAAACCATCAACCACAGATATTTTGCACAACACATGTACTGAAAATGTTGTCTATAAGAAAATTCGTTCCTTTATACATTGTTAGAACAACCTTCTCACATGTATATTTTATGATGTTTGAAAGATTATTAAATTTTCCTGCCATCCAATAATTTTCTAACTTATTTCATATATATATAAAACAGTATTTTAATACGCAGAAAATAATATTTTTCATTTTATATACAGGTTATCAGAAGTTCATATCAATTCTCTACTGCGTTTGTATATTTCACATGTATAAATTAATTTAAAAATAAAATATAAATTTTTTTATTAAGATCTAATACATTATATAGTTGTATTTTTTCAATATTTGATAAATGTACCGAGTATAGTACTCAAAAAAACAATTTTCCCTTGTTTTTTAGACTATCTACCACATTTTTCTGCAAATAAAATATTAATTTATCCACAAAAGATGTCATATCGGTGTAAGTGGTGATACAATTTCACATGTCCTTTCTAAATAAATTTTGTATCCATACAATATCCATTGAACTCTTGATAGGTTTAATACGATAAGACTAAAGAATAAAAACAAGTACACACTGGTTTTGTAGATGGTGATTTCTGTGTCTCTCTTATTCCATTGCCATATATGTACTATTNACAAGTACACACATGTGTTGTATATAATAATCTCCGTATTTCACTTATTCCATTGCCTTATATGTAGTATTATTTATCATTTCGCAAATTCCTTCGAACCAATCTACAATTCGTGGTGCTCATGCCTCAAGGCTATACTAAAGCATGTAGATACCACTTAAGAGTTTATAGCGGTCAACTGCACATTAGTTTAAAGGATAATTGTTTTATAGTAGACGCACAAATTCCCTGATTTATTTTCATTGAATTCCAAAGGTTAGTGTTCCATATGTACCTGGGTGTTAAGGAAGTCTCATTGGTGGGCATGAACCAATAATACAATCCCCAGTGTGAACCAATCCTTGGTCATATAATCTTTGTCAGAGAACCCTCAGGGTGCCATGAGTATCAGGCCTTGGGGTTGTTGGTCTATCACCGTTTGGGCTATTCTTATGTGTTACTCATGGTACTTTTGAATTGGAATGAAAACTAAATAATTTTCTTTTCTAAACATTATCTTCTCATAATCTGTGAGACCAGATTGAGATTTTGAAAGAAGACGTCCATAAAGCCAATTGTAGCGGAGCAAATATCTGATGCACTATTCACATCTCTCATCTTATCATAAGATAATAGTACACACTTTACATGCAAGATAGTGGTATTTAACAAGAATTATTATCAAATAGGAAAACTATGCTACTTTTTATGGGTTTATACGTGTGTTTGTTTTGTGCCCACTTTATACAATTGAAATGAGATTGGTAACTTGTGCAGGCTGCTTAAAATGCAATGTTCAGTACCGCAGTTCCTACTTTGAAATCTGAAGATGCATTTGATCCAAATTAGTTAAATGTGTGGTGGACAATCGTGGATATGTAATTTATTTTTCACGAGGATTGATACCATTGAACAAGTTAGTGCTTCTCTACTTTTGCAATTAGTATGCGAAAACATATCTCAAACACTTCAATTTTAAATATTGATATATATTTATATGCAATTGACATAGATTTGGAACTGTGAATCTTGAATTTCTGTACTTGCTTCATTTGGGGATTCAGGTATCTATTAAACAATTATGATGCATTCATCATTTTTGCACCATAATCTTGTATTGAAATATCAAAATTCAGTTTGTAAAGCCATTTTTTCTCCTCTACACCACACCTCTCGTTGTATAGATGAATTTTTTTTCCCGATTGTGCTAGAATTTCTCGATTTCCACTTTGTGGGTTTGAAATTAGAATCTTGTGTAAATTATCACCTTCAATTGTGAAACTTACTGAACTTAAGATTTTTTATTTTTCATTTGTAAGGTTTCGCTTGTTACATGCATTCATGCTAGCACTATGTTCTCCTTTGCAAAAGGTTAATCTTTTTTATTTTATTCAGTTTACTAATCCTGTGACAACGTTCTTCTCTGTTTTTTTAGGTAAGATTGGTTAATATTTTTTCGAATATAGTATTAAACCATTAAATGTCCTGTTGTCATGCATGAAAAGAAAAATTATGGTTGCATAGCGAAACAAAAACACGATTATTTGTTTCTGACCTCTTGCAGCCAAGTTAAGTTTGCACAAGAGAACAGGTATTTCTGCATCCCATACGATACTAAAATAACTTGCATAAAATTTGCTTGGGGAAAAATAGGCCAAAAATTTAATATGACACATAATACTAGCTGGAAAGAGAGAGATGATGATCCTATTCTAGAATAGTTCCCATGGTCATCAACCAATTTACTTTCTGATGAACTTCAAAATAC